GAATGAATTCCTGTTGCTTCTGAGATTGCCTGCCACTGGGCTTAGACCCTGCAAATCCACTTTTCATCCAACTGCCAAATCTGTTGCTCTGTGTAACTCCTCTGCATGGTACATGGTGATCCATGGCTCTGCATGGTACCTGGTGACCCATGGCAGTTATGACACATGGTGTTGGCTAATATAAGATTTAGATGACAACTTACAAGGCAGAGAATAGCAGAGGATCCAAAATCTCCCCAGGCTTGCAGTTCTTTTATAGGGAGATGGGCAGGCTGGTTGTGCCGCAAAGAGCCCCCCAATAGAGAACCCATTGCCCTGAGAAGACATAGACCCTGGAAGGGTAAGGGACCATCTGATTTTTAACAAGAAATGTCCAAATGCTGAACCTAATAAACCACCAGGTAGAGTTTGTGTATCCAAGTTGCTGACAGCAGCCAAGCCTTTCTGTCCCTCCCAGAGCTGGCACAGGAAGAGGAGAGTGCCCCACAGCCATCTGCCTGAGAGCGCAGGGTCTGTCCCTCCTGTTACTTAGTACATGACTGTGCCTTGCTTGACTCTGGCTTTAAACTCCCAGCACCTCATGTGACTCATGGTTGTCCAAGCTGGCTCCTCTCTGGTGTTTGTGCTGTTCCCCAGCCCTGGCCTGGCCTGGGGATAACCTCCTCCAGAAAGCCGCCTCCCCTTTCTGGACTCTTCTCCATCTTGTCGTTGTGTTAACATGGTATATCTCTGTGTTTGGATCATCCCAAACTGAGCAACTTGAAGGAAAGGTCTATCACACCCACCTTTGTGGCCCCAGGGCCTGGCATGTTAAGTCACTGACTGACTGCAAGTTTGAGTAGGCTGCAGAAGAAAATGCGAATCTGTAATCTTATTCCCCAGTGGTTAAACCACTGAATTCATTACCACTGAAATTAATTTGGGATATACCCTTCCAGACTTGTTTTTTTCTCTGTATTTCACACAAACAAACACAATGCACACACACCACATCTCTCACACATGCTATTTTATTTTATAAAATGTATACCAAACCCTACCTATTGTTATAAAAAATGTTTCCATTTCATATAACATGAACCGTTTCCCTTCTCACTGCATATTCTCAGCCCTTGGATCGTGGTACTGCACAGTATTTTGTTCTTATCAGACACGCAGCTTGTTTCCATCTGATTTTATTAATGGTTTTCTGTGTAGAGAGTATTTGTTTCCCATGATGAAGAAACATGGTAAACTCATGCTGGGCCTAAAGTAGAGACAAGGAAGATGACTAATAATGGGCAAGTAAATAATGCTACTGTTGTTTGGCCTTTAAAATGCTAGAACTTGAGTCCTTCAAGCCGTGACTGTCATGGAAGCTCCTCTTACGCAATGCCTTTTGTATTGAATTGTTTTATTTTCTCTGTGGCAGGACTATGGCAACAGAGGAAGCCACTCCAGGCAGCCAGTCAGAGGAGAGCAATGCTCTGGACCTGCCATCTGCTTTTGACTTGAGGGATTATGTGCTGCAGAGACCCAACCAGGAGGTCAACAGTGAGGCTTTTAGTTCTGTGGAAGCCCCTTCATTTCCCTGCTCTTCTGATGTGGATCCAGGTAAGAAGCGGAGTTTAAAACAAACTAACGTTAAAAAAGCACACACAGTTGACATATACAGGCATGTGATTGTTTCTCCTCTAATAGCAGATCTCTGAGGAATGATTCATTGTCCTGGATAGAAAAAATTCTAAGCAAAACTGTGGGGAGAGACTTCAAAGGTCAGCCTCCTGGGTGGAACCAGGACAAGGAGCTGTTTCCTGGAGACCTTTTTTGTTTGAGTTCCTTTCTGATCTGCATCCAGATGCCTTCAGGGACAGGGGAACACTTAACTCAGTAGGGAGAGAGTGGAATTATTTTTGTTTTGTTTTGTTCTTCCAAATCTTTGGAAAATAGCAGTGTGGGCCTGTTATGTTTTATAGATAATAGTAATTGGGACTTTGGTATTTGTTCTTTGAAGGATAGTCTGGAATCAGGTAACAACTTTTCTACAAGTCTCCCTGACTGACTTGCCAAAAAGTGTATGATTTGAGCTTAATGATAATTCTTTCACATGGTTAGTAACCAGCTCTGGTTGTAAAGCCCATCTGGTCCTTGTTCATTTGCCTAATCCAGACCTGGAGGTCCACACACATGGATTCATACCTCTGCCACTTACTGGCTGTGTGACTTGGGGTGTGTTTCTTAACCCATCTGAACTCTGTGTAATTGACATCATCACTTAGATTTCTATCAGACTTCTTAAATGTGATATATCCTAAATCAGATTTCTAATTCCTATGCCCCCTCCCAGCTGCCTTCTCCTTCACATACACACACCTCCTCTTTGAGGCTTTCTCATTTCAAAAAAGTGCTTCTGTCCTTCTGTTTACTTAGGCAAAAACCTAGGCATTGTCCTCAACTTCTCTCTCTCTCTCAAATCTGACATCCAGTCCATCAGCAAGTCCTGTCAATTCTACCTTCAGAATAAATCTAGAATCGAAACAGTTTTGCCATCTCCTCTGCTGCCACCCCGGTCTGAGCCACCATCATGTGCCTCCTAGATGATGGTAACAGCCTCCTAACAGGCTTTTTCCACAGCTGCCCTCATCCTCCTACAATCTCTTTTCAACCCAATGACCAGAAGGATCCTTTAAAAATATCAATCAGATCATGTTAGTCCTTGCTGCAAAATGCCCTTGGCTTCTCATCTGACTCAGAACAAAAGCCAAAGTCCTGCCCTGCCCTCAGGGCCCTGGACATGCCAGCAGCTCTGACCTCACCCCCTGCCAGGCTGCTGGCCCTCACTGGGCTGGCCTTCCGCCACCCCGTGTGTGTGCTGCCCTGCGGGAGGCTCCCCTTGCCTCCTGTGTCTTAGAGCCAGCCACCCACCCTCCGACGTTCCTTCCTTGTACCCATCCCTGGCTTTATTCTTTTCCACAGCACCAGTGCCCTTTGGCACCCTGAGTATTTGATTGTTTATTTGTTTGTCT